CACTCTTACCACTTGCCCTGAAGAGATCATCTGTCCTGGATTCCCTGTGTTTCCAGTTCCTATCTGTACCAGTGTACATCCTCTGGTCTAGCCAGATTTGGGATCATGATACTGCGGGGGAGGAAGCATTAAAGAACTAGAGGAAAGTTGTATGTTTCATCATTGCTTCACTGCACCCTGACTGACTCTTCTCCTCCCCGCGACCCTTCTGTAAGGGGATGTCCAGTTGCCTACAGATGGGTTTTGGGTCCCCACTCCACACTCCCCCTCATTCACAATGATATGATTTTTTGTTCTTTGATGCCTGATACCTTGTGATCACATAGTCGGGTGTGCTTCTTCCATATGGGCTTTGTTGCTTCTGAGCTAGATGGCCGCTTGCTTATCTTCAAGTCTAAGCTGTCATCTTAAGGAAGAGGAGCCTTGGTGTTGTAGTGATTAGTCGTTGCGGTCAGCAGTTCAAAACCACCACCCAAGAAAGACAAGGCTGTCTGCTTCCATAAAGAGTTACCATCTCAGAAACCCATGGCGGTAGTTCTACTCTGTCCCATAGGGTCACTATGCATGGGAATTGATTGCTGGCAGAGTTTGAGTTTTCAGTTCCTCTTTCGAGAAGCAGATCACCAGGTCTTTCTCCCAGGGCACTCTGGGTAGCTTCACAGTGCACAGCTTTTGGTTAGCAGCCGAGCACCTTGTGTGCCGCCAGGGCTTCTTCCTTTACAAGCTCCCGTTACCAAACCAGCCCCATTCTTTGCCATTGAGTTCATTCTGACTCACACATGTGACCTACTTAGAAACAACACTGCAGAGGGTCATGCGTGACTGTGATTGCACTACGCTGGAGGGCTTCATGCTTGTAAATGATGTCCAGCTCTGGGAAAGATGAGCCTCGCAAGGACAATGGTCTCTCTGTGCTTGGAATCATTGCTGTTGTAAATCCCCCAAACCAGCCCATTGCCAACAGGTTGATTTTGATTCACAGTGACCCTAAAGGACAGTGTAGAACTGCCCCATAGGACTTCCAAGGGTGTAGGCTTGGCTGAAGCATACTGTCAAATCTTTTTCTCCTGGAGTTCGGACCACTGCCCTTTCAGTTAGCAGCCAGATGTTTACACTACCCCCACCAGAGCTCTTTCTACTATTAAACAAACAAACAGAATATCGTACTAACTCCATGTAGGTTTACTGTTTGTAAATCTTTATGGGACTAGAAAGGCTCATTTGCTTCCCCCTGGTGAAGGAGTCCTGGTGATGTAGTGGGCTAGTACTCAGCAGCTAACCATAGGAACAGCAGTTTAAAACTACCAGCTACTGTGCTGTAAAAAGATTAGGTTGTCCTCTCCCACAAGACTTCTTTAACGTGCTGAAAAGCATGGATGCTACTTTGAGGACTACAATGTGCCTGATCGATAGCCATGGTATTTTCAATAGCCTCGTATGCATGTGGAAGTTGCACATTAAAGGTTGTAGCAGAATAGATGTATTTGAATTGTGGCCCTAATGAGGAATATTGAAAGTACCATGGACTGCCAAAAAAGGAAACAAACCTGTCTTGGAAGAAGTAAAGCCAGAATGCACCCTAGAAGCAAGGATGGAAAGACTTCATACCAAATACTTCGGACATGTTATGAGGAGAGACAAATCTCTGGAGAAGGAGATCCTGCCTGGTCAAGTTGAGAGGCAGTGCAAAGCAGTAAGACCTCCAATAGGAAGGATTGAGTCAGCATCTGCATCGATGGACTCAAACATAAGAGCAATGGTGTGGATGGCACTGGACCGGGCAGTGCTTCCTTCTGCTGTCCATGGCGTTGCTGTGAGTCGGAACTGACTCGATGGCACCGAACACCGGCAACAAAGAGTTATAGCCCTGGAAATGCACAGGGGCAGTTCTACTCTGCCTTGTGGGGCACTGTGAGTTGAACTGGCCTCCATGACAGTGAGAGGCCAGTGGCTGGTGGGTTTGAACTGTTGATCTTGTGGTTAGCAGACCAACGCTTACGCCACAGTGCCGCCAGAGCTCCGTAGCTTGTCATAAATAATCTCCCATGTCATTCTGCATAGCAGAGGACCCTCTTCATGGATGTAAGAAAGAGGGAAACACGTATGAAACATGTAATTTAAGCAAAGCATGTGCAAGATACTTTGAATCTTTTTTTATTCAGTCTTTTCAGTAACCTTCTGAAGTAGGTTCTCATTGCTAGGTCACAAGGGAGAAAACTAAGGCTCAGAGAGGATAGTAACTTGTCCAAATGATACAGCTAACAAGTGGTGGGTCTAGAATTCAAAACCAGGGTAAGTCTCCTTACAAAAATAGTGCTTCCTTCAATTGACAGGTATGAAGTCAAAGAGATGTTATGACCCCTAAGAACATGCAAGATAAGCCCCTTATCTCTTGGCCCCTTGATGGCTTTGACCTTTGGTCTCTGAAAGACAGCATCAGTTTATAGTGTATGGAGGAAAATCTACCAACTGCCTAGAACCATAGGATTTAAAAACAAATCTAAGCTATGGAATAAGTGTTGAGCTACTAACCAAAAGGTCATCCGTTCAAACACATCAGCTGCTTTGCAGGAGACAGATGAGGCTGCTGGCTCACATAAAGGTTTGTAGCCTGGAAAACCCTAAGGAACAGTTCTCCTCTGCCCCATAGGGTTGCTGTAAGTCAGAATCAACTTGTTGGCAGTGAGTTTGGTTTGTTGGATTTTGTAGCTAGGCTGATATCAGTAAAAAGTTTTAAACTGAAGGTAAGTTTCAAGATTGAAGACAGAAGTAGCACAGGTACATATACAAATTATACATAGCACAACTATAGACAAATATGTATCAAAGCAATTCTATTGGCTTAGTAGACACCAGCAGTTTTCCAAAGACTTTATCTCCATACAGAAAATAACCAGTGGAGCTATTTTTATCCTCCAGTTGTTTCAGAACAGCCCCCATGGATGCTTTCTCTAGATTAGGCCTTGGCTTCAAGGACGCCCCAACCCACTGCCATCAAGTCAATTCCAACTCAGAGCAGCAGCATGAGGTTGAGTAGAATTGCCTGCCCGTAGTGATGTTTCAAGGTGGTCATTTTTTTGGAAGTCCACTGGCTCATCCCTCTCCCACTGAGCCACTGATGGGTTAAAACCACGAGCCAGTTGGTTAGCGATGGAGCGCTTTATCCACAGCACCACCAGAGCTCCTTCAAGGAAAGAAAGTCCAAAGTGGACCCTAGATCGGCTGGTCTAGGCCGAATTCATATAGGATGGGCACAAAGTGTCTATTATATCCAGAAGGGATATGGCCCAATCATTTGTTCACTTTCGCTTCAGTGAGAGTAAGATGGCTATGAGGGGGCAGTTCAGTCTGTCCCTTAGAAATAGACACAGACTTCTATCAGGATGACGTTTATTCCACCTCAGTGTCAAGGACCTTGAGATACCCGAGTCATTACCAGCAGAATACAGTAGCATCGTTTTTAAGAAGGCCCAGTGCCACTCAGTGTTAAACTATTCCTTCATCAAAACTATGATCATGTTTTTCAGTCTTATTCCACTGTGGATGGTATGATTTCATGACCCTCCTTAATCTTCCATCAGGGAGCAATGAAGACACTGGGAAGGTAAATGCTCCCAGAACCATGGACATTTGGACTAATTTGTTTGGCCTTGAAGCATCATCCTAAAACATATATCTTGGGTAGGATCTGGTCAAGTATAGGTCAAACACTCATTTTTCATCCGCAGCTATTTTGAGTGGAAACAAAACCACACACTTACCAAAGTTCTGCTTTGCCTCCTCAGACATTTTACATCCATAAGGCAGCTTTGTAAAATCACTCAGATTCTGAGCTGAATGCACGAGGCGGCCTCATTTCTTGAAATCAGTATCGTTCTAAACCAGTGGGGTGGTGAACTCATCAGAACATGTTGGCTCATTTTCAGCGGTTCTCCTAGGAAGAATGGTTCATCATGGTGATTGTAAATTTAAGGGGTTTGAGTCATACAGAGAACGTGTTTCAATGAGACTTAGTAATTCACTATCATTCCATTAAGTTTTTGTTGTAAAACCCCAAGAGACTTAAATGAGTGTCAGTTATGAGATAAGCTTGAGCCATTAATTAAAAATAAAAATCTTGGTCAGATACTTATAAAAAGATAGTTCTCTCTTTACAAATATCGACATTAATAGATTCCATTTCGTGGAGGAAAAGATGTCTTCATGATTGGCTGAAAGCAGCCAGCCATTTTGCAAAAATCACATGGGCGCGCGCGCGCACACGCACGCACGCCCGGACGCACGCACTTTGGTGGTTCAGTCGGCGGTAGAGTGAGCTTTCCATGCCAGAGACCAGGGTCCCTTTACTAACCAGTGCGCCCCATGTGTAGCTACTATGCTCCTGCCATGAGAGGTTTACATGTCACCATAACGCTGAGTACGTTTCAGGGATGCTTCCAGACTAGGAAGAAGTAGTACGAAAGACCTGGAAATCAACTTCTGAGAAACAAAAAAAATAAGAACTTTTATTTTTAGCATAGTTAGATGTATATTTCCATTTCTTGGTAGAACCTTCTTGCTCTGCAGTGGAGAGAAGATTATATTAACATTTCCCAGAATATTGTTGTGAGTGTTTCAATGGTAATTAGGATTTTTTTAAAAATTATTAGTCTTCAGGGTTTTCTAAATCCAAACTCCTTTTAGTGTCAACATGATTTTCATCTCAGTGAATCACATACAAATGGACTTTTAAGAGAAAATAAGAAGTAGAATAGCCTGGACCATTTTTTCCCAAGAACTTCCCTCCACTGCATGCAATACCTTTGTCCATTTTTTTGTCTCATGGGCGTGAATTACTTTCATAGCTTTTGTCCATAGCTAAGATAACCCAAGCTTGCTGTTTGTCCCTGATAATAATTATAAGCCATATAATTATTAGTGTCCTTTCTCCTCCTTAGAGAAGTGGCTGGATCAAATAGACTAGCCCCTCTTCCTCTAATTCCTCTGTTCTTCTGTTACAGATTGGAATTGAAGCCCCGCCTCTCCAAGGACAAGCTGCAGCTTCAGGGAGCAGTGAGGGAGCTGTTTCTGAGCCAGCTCGCCACGTCTTCTCCTTTTCCTGGTTAAACTCCCTGAGTGAATGATACTCATTCCAACCGCTGCCCCTCTGTCTGCCTGGCTGAGATGCACTGAGGCAGCAGGGAGCCTAGATGAAATTAATACGATGCATATGATAAAAGGGACCTCGGAACAGGATTTCTGAAGAAAGAAAAAACAAACTTTAATTCCAGATGACGTATCCAACACATAATAATACTTTGAGAAAATAGTTGCAGAAGGCATTGGGGGAAAAAAGAAACTTGATTTTAAGCAGATTCTCTCTTGCGTGGGAAACACTATGACAGGTGTAGAGGTGTGGTACGAATGTGCGTGTGTCGACAGCAAGTGACAGGTGTTAGACACTCCCATCTCTGACAGGCTGTGGCTGTTTGTCCTTCCGTCACAGTAGCGCTCTTTCCCATTCCTCGTCACCAGTGTAGGTGGTCAGTGAAGCTGAGTGTTAATCCCGAAGTGAGTGCTTTAGCGATATGTGGACAGACGGTAAATCATTGACCAAAGGTATGAAATGTTTCCCAGTAGACTCGCTGGCTGTGGACTCAGACGGGGTCTTTGAACTTTATGACACGTTCATGGGCAGGACGAAGGTCTAGAACATCTCGTGTACAATTTTTTCTATCTAAGTTTTAGGTATTCAGATATCAAGTTCTTTAATTGAAAAAGACCCTCCAGCAGGCGCTTTCTACTTTTTCATGTATCCACTGAGGCACCAATGTGTTAAGTGTAGAACAACTGTGTGTATTCACATATATATGAGTATGTCTATAATCACACAGTGCACCCCTCCATGCACATATATATTTAAGTCATACTTTACTTGTTCTTTACATAATGCCTCCTTCAGCACCAAGTATAACTAGTCTTTATGAACTCTTAAATAAATACTGTTTTTAAAAATGCTGTCTCGCGGTGGTTTATTTGATGTTTCTTAATTCCTTAGAAATCTACTAGTGGATTTGAAGTGTTCCTGGGCGAAAGGTGTTGTCATGCAAATTCGTCGTTTTTCTTTCCCATATTAGTTTTGACATTTCAGACACTTGATTAAATATTAAAGCTATAACTAAACTACCAAAGGGCAGTGAATCAAAAACACATTAGATATACTGTTCAACTTTAGAAGTGGATAGTTTATATTACAAATAATTCATGCGATTAGGTTGGCATAGATATAAATTTGGAGAGGGTTTGCATAATTTAAATTCAAAATGTTCCTTACAAGAAAAACATTCACAAATGCTATCTTGTAGCAATACATTTTATATTTTTCCCAGTGGAGATATATCGCGTTTTTAATATTCCAAGCAGGCATTGAGAAATCATTTAGGAAAAACTACTTGTGGTGCCTGTGGCTTCCTGGGGGCGAGGTGGGGTGTGAGTTGCAGGTCAGCGAATGGCAACCCCTAGCGGCTGCTTGGGGGAAGGATGAGTAGCTGTGCTGTGAAGAGTGGCAGTCTCAGAAAACCCGCAGGGACATTCTACCAGGGTCGCTATGGGGCTGCTGGGCCTTATAATGGACTCGGTGGCCATGAGTTTGTTTATGGAAGTCCTATCTTGATTAAGTGAGTCTATCTCATGGGGGCGAGGGGAAATGTGGCAGGAAATTTGGGCAGAATCCCCCACTTCAGCCGTTCTCTTGCCTTCCTAATGACTTTCTTTTATAGATACTCTGTTTTAGATGTCATTTCCATTAGGGATCAATCTTTGATTTATAAAATTATCATGTCTTAGAGCTGGAAGCAACTTCCCAGGTAACTCCCATTAAGGAATTGAGCCCAAGGTCACTGCATGCCTGAGTCTTCAGTTAAACAAGCAAACAAAAAGAAGGAAGGCGGGGCGTTTTTGTTTTGTTGTTGTTTGGGGTTTTTGCGAGGTCTGCTTTGTATGTGTGTGCTGAAGACAGCTTGGAGAGAGCTAGGAGCTGAGAAGTCCCCGTGTCGGAACATTTAAGAGGAACGATAACGCCATGATTACCTTTGCAACTTTTATTAAAAATATAATATTGATCGTTCTTGTACACAGCCAAATTGACCAAGGATTGGAAAGATGTTTTATTATGGAAATGCTTACAAGAAAGTTGATTCAAGAGAGCTTACAGATTTGACATCATCCACGCATCCACGAGAACGGCATTCTCTTTAGCTCAAACCATAGCAAGGACAATCGGGAGGCGTCTGCTTTCCTCCTGTACCTGCAGCCGCTCCAAACACCGCTAAAGAGCCCTGGACGTGGAAGCTAAAAGCAGACAAGACACCCAACACGTCTTTTGTTGTTACTGCAGGTGGTTACACTTTGTGCATGCTAATTGAACGGTAATAGATTCTCTTGCGGGACTTTCAAGCTATATAAAAATAAGCAAATGGTATCAGAGCAGCGCTATGGTACAGAATACTTTATTTTTGTTATTTTTTTAAAATTTATGTTTGCGTGTGCTAAATGCAGGATTTCCGTGGCCGCACGCACCGCTTCATTTCCCAATGATTTCCATCAGTTTCCTGTTGCTGTGAGCTTGTTGCGCTAACTGCTCAGCCCTGGCCATTTCCAAGACTTCCCGGAGGAGGTGGAAGGTGAGATCGAGCGAGATGGGAGGCTCCTCGGACTGCCTCTTCCTCTCCGGTGCCTCCTGGCGGTCGCCGAGGGCGCTCTGGGCGCCGCGCGCCGCGGGACTCGGGGGGCTGTCGAGCGAGCGCCGGGGCGGCAGCAGCAGCTGCTGCAGCAGCGCGCGGAAAAAGTTGGCGGCGGCCGCGTCCGGCAAAGGGCGGCTGCCCGCAGCGAGGGCCTCGGGGGCGGCCGAGAGCGGGGCCGCGGGACTCTTGTGCAGGTTTCCCAGGCGGAGGAAGTACTCTTCCCCCATGCGGAGCAGGACCGGCCGAGGCTGCGGCGGCTGCGGCTGTTCTGACTGCGGCGGCGGCGGCGGCTGGAAGATATCCAGGGGTGGCGGGTGCGGCGGGCTCTGCCGGGCGCCTGGGCTGGGACCCCGGCTGAGAAAAGCCCTGCATGGCGGCCAGGGCAGCAGAGCCACCAGCAGGACGCCCGCGGACACGAGCAGCGGCAGCCGCATGTTAAGGGTGCGTGCTGCGGCGTGGAGGGCGGGATGCGGAGGAAAGAAGCGAGAAAGAAAGAGTTGGTTAGAGTTGAGCTCAACTAGGAGATGCGCTCGCGGGCGCTGTCCGCGGTGCTGAAGCGCCCGTCGCGGTCTGGCGCTCGTGGGGCGAGGGCTGGGGGGCGGAGGGGGGGAGTTAGGAAGGATACTTCTGGGGTTGGGAATCATCGCAGGGGGCTCCGAGGGGCTGGGCGCCCAAACGCAGCCCCTGGCCGGGCTGAGACACCCCCCGCGAAGGGGCGGTCCCTAAATCATGGTCCTAGCGATCCCCAAGACGGATTCCCTCCGCGCTAGGAAGGCACCACGGGCTTAAGATTTCACGCGCCGGCATCCCCTTTCCGGATGTTTCGGCATCTTCGCTCCAATGGAGAACCATGTCCTCCTTTCCCTCCACCCTCGCCCTTCCTTCCAGGCCCACAGGCAGTCCACGGTGGGCTCGGCTAGTCCACACAGGTTCCAGGGAAGCCCCGCAGCCGTCTAAGTTTGCAGGGTGGAAATCCTCGAGGCCCAGTCGGGGAGAGCACACACGCACACGCCCAGGCACATGCACACGGGGACAGCTGGCTCGTGGCGGCAGCTCTGGCAGCGCCAAGTTGGTGGCGCGTTTGGGTCTGGGCGTTCCCTACCTTGGGGTGCTTCCGCAGGTGAGCAGGCCAGTCGCCGCCTCTCAGCAGAAGGATGTCTCCCGGTTGATTTTCTTCAGGAAAATCTCTTCTCCTTTCGTGCCCACTCTCTCTCTCCACTCTCTTCAGTCTCTCTCCGGACTTGCGCTCCGAGTTTCCCTACACCAGAGACTGGAGTGGGCTTTTATACCGTCGACCCTCTGCAGAAACCACGCAGCATTTGCCTAATAAGCTGACGCTCTCTTGACAGCTCCACTGCGTGCTGCCTCTGCTCCTGCATAAATCATAGGGCCCTGCCAGGGAGCATGGGGCAAAGTTTTGCTATCTCAACACTGAATCGCACATCCAATTATATCAACAGATATTTATCGCCTCCTTGGTGACGTCAACGAGCCCTAAAATGGAAGGGCTCCTTATGACTTGTCCATTGACAAAATTCCTTGAATGAGATTTCCCAAGTGGGAAAACATACTGACCTCATACTAGTAAAGGCCAAATTGGGGGTGGGGGGATCGGAAAAGAGCGAATGGAAGTGAGGGGGTGGGGGGAAGGGAACTGCAAAGAGCGGAAGTCAACCTACGCACAGTCCTGCGGGGGAAGCAGAGTCCAGGCCTAAAGGTTGAATCTAGGTCCCCTTCTTCCTTTCTCTCTTAATTTATCTGACCAATTGTTTCCGGCAACACCTCAAAATCGGAAAAGATCTGTTAGCTGTGTGCGGCCAGGGCCTCATCATCTGCCCACCTAAACAATGAAGAACAAGGAGATGGACATCTAATTCCTAAGCCTCTGGGTGTTTTATGTGTTTTTTTTCCCTCTCAGAAGCAGAATCACGGCTCTGCAGAGGCAAAACCGTTAAGTCTCTTTAAATACAGACACCACCACCTCTTTCTTTTTAAGTGATAAGAGCTACTGCCATGGTGAGGGGCACAAACCAGGGTCAGTCAGGGGTGCTGCAAAATCTTAAATTCTCGTATTGTTCTCCCTTTGCCTCTCTTTTTATCAGGGACTTTTTAAAATTCCCAAATAATTAGGGAGACCGAGAACCAATGAAAAGGCAAGAGTTAAACAAGCCGTGTTGTTAGGGAGTTTCCATGGAATTCACTCGGACCCACTGGGACCCCAGGTATGCGGAGGAGCTCGCTCCACAGGGTTTCGAGGCCGCAGCCTTGCAGAGGGAGATGCCCTCTGTCTCCCAGGCACCTCTGGGTGGCTTCAAACTGCCAGCTCTCTGTATACCCAGTGAGAGGAGCATCCGTTTTAACGTTCTACACCATGTTGGGAAATATTTCAGACTGCTTTATAATCGGGCTGAGTCCGTTTGCTACGTGTCTTCTTTTCTTTTTAAAAATTTTATGAATTTCGTCGTTGTTGAGGATACAAATGCACGAACTGTTTCCACGCGCACATCATTTTCTGAGTTGTTTTTCACCCACTCATATGAACGTACTGTCCCCTAGGTTTTCTACCTAATCTTCAAGTTGCTGTTGTCCATGTGATCCTTCAAAGGTAGCTCTCCAAAGAGCAAAGACTCCGCGAGACCTTTTATAGCTAGTTACGCTCAACCATTGTTTGGTTTCAAGAAGTCTTCGGGGGATAATTTGGGTTTAAAGATTCAAGGTTATCTCAGGGCAATAGTTGGAGGTTTTATCCAACCTTCATGGCTTCAAGGGGTTCATGAGAATTTGAAATTCTGTTCCAATCGCAGTGCCCCCCCCCTTTTGATCAGTGTCCTCCTATGAAATCTTTGTCCAAAATGTTCTGTAATGGTAACGGAATCATCAATTCTTCTGGAGAATTGTTCTTCTGAAACAACAAAGGTTCATGAGGTAATTAATCACACATTCCAAATTCCCCTCTTTTTCCTGACTTTCTTTTTCCTTCCGTTGCCCCAGCAGGATGGAGCTCCACGGTTGTGCTTTGGATGGCTCTTTGATAACTCTTAAGACCCCAGGCACTATGCATTGAACTAGGAGATAAAATAGAAGCACTAAATATGTTATGAAGTCAATTAACTGTGATGTCCTATGAAATCATGACCCTAAACCTACAAATCAAGAAGCCAGGTCCCATGAGGTGATTGGTTATACATCCAAAGATAGGCTATTGGAGCCATGTGTAGGACAGAACATTAAACCCTCAATGCTTGTGGAGTCGATTCCGATTCATAGCAACCCTCTGGGACAGAACAGAAGTGCCCCTGTGGGTTTCTGATAACGTAATCTTTCCTGGGAGAAAAAAGGCTCCTCTTTCTCCCGAGGAGCAGCTGGTGGTTTCCAGCATCGGACTTTGTGGTTATCAGCCCAATGCTTAACTCGCTGCGCCAGGGCACCTATGGTGATACAGAACTAGCCAAAATTGCTTCTCCCTTTTTTGTCATTATTGTAAATACTCATATCTCTATCAATTCAACGTTTTACAGGTATAAGCTTACTAACAGCAATTCCAACAATCAGGTATGCAATCCTACCCTTAATCAACACGATACTTCCATCACCTCCAATTTCTCCCTCCCAGTGATAATCCCACCATTGATAATCACTAAGCTTTGTCCTTTACACATTTGCCTTTTTATGTGAGGCCGCAGAATACTTGAATTTGTCCTTTTGCGGTGGACTTATTTAACTTGGCATGACATCTTCCAGCTTCATCCACAATGTAGTGGGATCAAGACTCCCTACTGGCTGACTCGTATTCCATTGTATGTGCCACATTTCACTAATTCTTTATCTATTTTATGGTCATTAAGCCTGGTCCCACCTTTTGGCTATTGTGAAGAGTTCTGTAGTGAATACTGATTTGCAATCTCTGTTTGAGTCTCTGCTTTCAAGATGTTTGAGTACATATCTAAGAGCGAAATGGTTGGAATATTATGGCATTTCTATTTCTAGGGTTTGGGGCCTGCATCATATTGCGTTCACAGCAGCAATAGGTAAGGTCCCAATTTTACATCCTTCCCCAATAGTTACTGCTTTCTATTTTATTTGTTTGCTGTTGTATTTTTTTAACCTTAGTCATCCTTGTGCTGTTGTTATGTTCTATAGAGCTGGTTCAGACTCACAGTGACCCTGTGCACAACACAATGAAACACTGCCTGGCTTTGCTCCATCACCTCCACCATTGCTGCCTTTAAGCTCATTGTTGTAAGCACTGTGTTGATTCATCTTGTTGAGGTCTTCCTTTTTGTTTTCTTTTCTTTTTTTTTTAGAGGATATTCTCCTCTACCAAGTGAGATTCTTTCTCCAGGAACTGGTGATCTCTGATAAAATGTTCGAAGAATATGAACTGATGTCTCCAGATCTGCCTGGTTTCTCTTTCAGAATGCTCATTACTGATACATAGAAACCCAACTGATCTGTGCTTCTTGGCCTTGCCCCTTGCTAAATTCCTCTTTTTGCCCTAAAAGGTTACTAATGAAGTTTTCAGGATTTTCAATATATAAAACGTAAAATCCAAATCACCACATCAAGTCAATT